ATTTTGACACCCCTAATCTAGAGGGTATATTCTTAAGGGGATTTTGTCCCTTCTATAATATTTAGTGCCGGTTTGGAAGGATTTTTTTTTTTTTGCTTTTTTTTTATATATATAGAAATTAGGTTAAACAAGTTTTTACAAAAAAATTTATAATAAAAATAATTTTTTTTTATAATAAAGGAAAAAGTAAAAAAAACCAAAAGCTCCTGGAAGGAGCTTTTTTAAAAGGAAAAATGTTTTGTCTTTTTAAAGGATCTAAGTTATATCATTTTACCATCTTATAATTATGTACTCCGGAGAGTTTATAGTCATAATATTAAAGTTGTAATTTTTTTACTTTCCACATCAGCTAATAATTTTTGAAGAGAGAAAACAAAATACAATTTTAATATTATAACTATGTACTCCCCTGAGTACTTAGTTATAAGAGAATAAAATGACATAACTTAGGTTCTTTAAAAGAATAAACTATTTTCAATTTTTTAAATTGTATTAGCTTTTTTAGAAATATGTGCTTTTTTTAAATGAATAGCTTTTAAGCTAAAATTTTTATATAATCATCAAACAATTTACTGTTTTATTTTTAGAGGAGTGTTATACTTATAACTTAAAAATTTTACAACATCTTATAACTTATTTTTTCCATTGATTTTCGTCAATCCAATGGTTATGATTTATTGGGTCGCATTTATTATTAATTATTAATTTTCAACCGTTTAATTAACGAAAATCAACGCTGAAAAAATAGGTTATGATACTTTTAGGTTGTAAGAATAACACTTTTCTTATTTTTAAAACTCTTTTTTTAGCTTGAGCTTAAAAATAATTTTTAACTTAAAAAAAAGAGAGGTACCAAGGCTCTTAAGATCCATGGACAAACACCTCCCAAGATAAAATGAATATCATTGTTTTGATAGTGGCACTACTGAACAAAACAGAATAATGACCTAAATGCCACATTTTTTTAAATTTTTTCCTCAAATGTCATGCGAATAATATTTTTTATCATACAATCACGCGTACAAATTTATTACAAGTCATAAACTTTGTTAGACCACCAAATTCGTTATCAATCATGACGAATTTCTTCTTATATAATTAGTCTTCTATAATTTCACGTGACATTTAGATAAATTTTTAAAAAAACGTGGCAATTGGTCAGGGTTACACCGAACAAAACAACACCGGTAGACTCAACACACTTTTGAACAATACGGTATGCAAAATCAATGATGCAAAATGACAGTGTTTTGGTATGAGTTTGCAGAGGGGATCAGTGCCCGGATTCACTGATTTTCTACGGTTTTATAGACATTAAATAATCACTGAATTAGCAACCGTTCGGCCATAGAAAGGCACGTCGGTTTTTTAAAAAAATTGTTGGGATAGCAGTTGAAGAAATAGTCTGAAAAACTTACATTAAGAACACTTAGGCAATTATTCAAAAAAAAGTTAGATATGTTTAAAAATAATAATTTAATTTATTAAAAATATATTTTCTCATGCCTACCACGAGCAACCATGATCACTTAGTTCCTCCTAATTTTACAAAAAAAGGAAAAAAAATGTCTCGGGAGACAATCTTGAAAGGTGAAATTAGGCTTTACGTTCCTTTGAATTTCCCATAACTTATCCAATATGAAACTTCTTTCTCACTCACACCTATTTCATACTCTATTCACTTCTTCAACCTCCAACTTTACTCCCTTATTATTCATAACATTTTCTATTACAAAATTTACATTACTGCGGTAGACAAAAAAAAAGTATTTATTAATAAAAGGGTTAAAGATTTCTTATGTCATAGAAGAAAAATTTCTTCTCTTACACAACAAACATGTGAATCCCATTGGAAAAGAGGAAAGAGAAAAAAAAAATCAGTTAAACCCACACTTTTGTTGTATCAATAAGAGAATGAGAAATTAATAACCCTTAATAAAATTGTTTTTTTTTTTTTTTTGCTCAGAATAAATGTTTTTTTCCTCTCTTTTAAAACATTAATAGATTGTCACCATTTATTGTAGTTAGTTATGTGGACTCACGAAAGCAGTGACATCAATAAATCGTTATATTATTATGTGGTATAAGAAACAGGGAACAAACAGGTATGGGCGTGGGATTATTCGTATGATATTTATGGGCAATGAACCAACGAATATGTGGTTTCCACAGCTTTATAGGATAGGTACAAATATTCGTGCAAAACTGGCTGCAATAATATCTATAATTCAATTGGCTTTGGTGAGGTGCATTGTATATGTTGTTTGTGAAACTGCGTAGTGGATCCTGTTGTATATACATCGAATAAATATATACTTTAGTACATACAAAATATTATTAATATTATTTTGGATTCAGAAAAGTTGTTGTTTTTATTAATTAGTTTTGAATTTTTTTCCTTGATACTGATTAATTTTTTGAAATTATTCAATTCAGCAGTCTTAATAAACTTATTAATAAATTTTCAATTTTTAAAATTAAAACAAGAAATCAAACAAGAGTGTTTGTATCATTTATGTCTTCACAAACTGACAGAACCTAAAATGTATATTACCTTAGGGGCTTGGAGAAAATCTTCGAGCGAATAGTAGATTAGAATTTAAACATCAAGTTGTTCACATGACATGTGAGTATATAATAGGAACCAAAATAATTGAATGGCTGGATCTAGAGAGTCTCGTCCTCTAGCCAATAACATTCTCAACATTTCATGATTAATTTATCAATAAGTTATTTAGAACTCTAAGTCCTATTTATATAAGTATTTAACACAAATTAACCACCTAATTTTCTAACTAATAATAACTACTTACACAGGTTAATACCGATGACTTACAATTCATGTTAATGTATAAGTTAACCTCATTTAAGTGTAACTGAATTTAACAATATATTAGAGAAATCTAGGGGTAACAAATTTTTTGAAAGCGTTTAAAAGCCGAGTGTTGAATTAATTATAAATTACTACGTAGAAGTGATACAAAAGAAAGACTTCTACCTCAATATAAGTAGTCAGTCTTTGTATTTATTTCAAAATATTTGTTTATATTGAAAATAAAAAAATTGCAAAATTGCAAATTTTTATGTATTGACTGGATACACATCAATCGAAAGCCACCAACTAAGTTTTCATAATCGCAAATTTTTAAAATATAATTTAAAATTATACTGCAACTATCACCTTTTTTCCATTTCATTTTGTTGCTCAGAATGTCCCTATTCAAATTTAATTTAAAATTGATTGAAAAAATTACATAATAAAATAATAAATATTTAGGTGATAATATGCTGGTAGTGAATGTGTAATTTCGCCGTATTGTATTTTATGTTGTTTTTTTGTTGATAATTTTATGTTGTTTTTGTTTTTATTAAAAATTGATTTGAGGGCTAATAATCATTTTAATTTTTGACTATTTGTAGATTTTTTTTTGAGATAGCTTTTTAATAATCTATTTAATTTTTTAATAATAATAATAATAATATTGAGATTCAAATCAATAACTTGTATGAATTAGCTAAGCTCCTACTAACCTATTAATTGATGTCCCTACAAGCCCCTTCCCTCTGCCCGAGCATTGAGGATATGTTGGGAAAAAATATTATAGATAAGTACTAGCTAGGTTAGGTCGGTAGCATACATATATATATATATATATATATATATATATATATATATATATATATATATGTGTGTGTATTATTATTATTATTATTATTAAGTAGATTTGGAGACCGTGACACTGGGAATGATGCATCAATCATATTGGTGGACAAATACGCAATCAGAAATGAGCTATGGACTCTGTGATGGTGTTATAACTTATAAGTTACAGCTTAACCGCAGACATTAGAGCACTGGACCAGAATGCACGATGGGGAAGAATTGTGACGGCTCTTCTTGACGAAACGACAAGCGCGGTTGGAAACGTAAGCACAATATGTCCAATATTTGCCATGTCCACACCTCGTTTGTGCTCGACATTTTACATCTTCCATTTACATCTAACATCCTACACAGACACAGTATAGTTAAACCTATTGTAAGTGTTTTCAAAATCTATATATTGTGGTCTTTGAACCTCTTTTCACAATGATTTTATTTAAGAAAAAAAAAATACTAGCAGTATAACATTTAATATATTTTAATATAACATTTTATATTAGTTTTATTAAATAAATAAATTCTACTCTTAATTCATAAAACTAACACGTCACTTGATAATAAAATTTATATTAAAAATATAAAGTGAAATGAGTTGTCCCCATATTTTTATGGGGAAGGATCCGTTTACAAATTTTTTTTACAAATTTTTACAAATTACACTATTTTCTCCCGAAAGAACATAGTGTAACTAGTGTTCTCCCGAAAGAAGATAATGTAGTTTGTAAAAGAAAAAATTTATAAATATAACATGTCCCTATTTTTATTTGATAAAGTATATAATCTGGATGAAAGCTAAGGGAAACTCAGGGTCTGTTTGATTGTGTTCTGGTTTTTTTGTTCTTAAAACTGTTTTGTAAAATAGTTATGGAAACAGTTATTTTCTATATTTTTTTCTTTTTGAAAGTTAAAAACCAAAACAGAAAACAAAAACAACTCAGACATGTTCTCTAAATTTGATTTTAAAAACAAAAAAAAAGCAGTTATAGTTTTCAAAACATTTTTTACAAAACAGGTCTTACCAAACAAGTTTTTTTAGTTTTTTTGTTCTGAAAATTAAAAAACTGTTTTGCAAAACAGAAATCAAACATAGCCTCAATTTTGGATTTTTGTTTTTCTAACATTTCTGTTTGTGGCCCGGGAAGAATTATTTCTCCAGGGAAAAATTTCTGAACTCTCTTTTAATTCCTTAAACCAAAAAAATGTCACCAGTTGGGCTAGCCCAACCAATAATAAATTGAGGCCCAATAGTACCAATGAATGGAATTAATATGCAACGAAAGAGGAGGGAAAAATAAAATAAAAAATAAAAATAAAAAAACCCTAAGTTCCTCATTTGTTCAACCCTCTTGTGGATTTTTCCATCAATCTCACTCGCATTAATTCCAAGAACTTGTGTGGATTCGATATTTGAGTTCTTGTAATGGATATAATCTCTCAATTACAAGAACAAGTTAATTTGATTGCACAACTATCTTTGAATACCGTTGGTACATTGCAAAGGGATGCACCTCCTAATCGGCTTTCTCCGAATTACCCTGAACCACCGCCACATCCTACGGAGGATGGGGCTAACTTTTCCGAACAGCCAAAGCTGATGAGTGCTGCATTGGTGAAGGCGGCAAAGCAGGTATCTGTAATTTAACTAAGGAAACACTTGCAGAAAAAAAAAAACAAAAAACTGATGATTGTCTTTTATACCAAACAATGTGTGAGATCCAATTGCATGGTGATTACTTGTACATTTCTGGTTTTGAAACTTTTTTATTTACCCTGATTTGGTATAAAGCATATCAGCGATTTGAGTCTAGCTTATATAAAGTTTTTGTCTTGTTCATTTGTTCCTTTATCCTTATTATGTATCCTGCCCCCCTTTCTTGACTATTGATTCTTCTACAGTTTGATGCATTGGTTGCAGCGCTTCCAATATCTGAGGGAGGTGAAGAAGTACAGCTCAAAAGGATTGCTGAACTACAGGTATGGAATTCACTTCACAGCTCTCCGAACTTTTTTTTTTTTTTTTTAATGTGATTATTCGATTTTTGTGGTTTGTGAAGGTTAATCTGATGAGGAAATTAGTTACTAGGAACTAGAACTTTGAATCTGCGTATCCATAGCTTTACTTGTAAAAGGGACTGTGCTTATTTTTGGTAATGGAACTGTAACTGACAGTGCTAATGTTCTTACACTGTTTCTGGATTTTACCTTCTCAGGCTGAAAATGATGCAGTAGGCCAAGAACTTCAGAAGCAATTGGAAGCTGCAGGTTATCTCCAATCTTCAATCTTTTTCCCTGAGCTTTTGGATTTGGTTTCATTTTGATTTCTATAATTCTCTTCTGAACATATGAAAGTTTAAATTCATATTAAATAGAAAAAATTTGTGTAAGATTTAGTATCCAGAGGCGTAATTTTCATATATAGCAAACAGCATCCCTGTGGTCATTTTGAGGAAACTATTAGAAAATGATGTCTTGTATAAAGCAACTTCTAGGCTGTAGTTATTCACATGGTAAATAGATGGCCTGTATCTGTGGTTAGCCTTGTATGTAATTTTCTTTTAAATTCAGACTCTTAAAGTAACAGGGTGTTGTGATGTGGTTTAACTTGTTATTATAAGTGCTACGATTTTGAGCAATAAACTAGTTTCATGCTACTTTAGATATTAGGATGTTTTGAGCAATTGCATTCGTTCTTGAATTTGATAGAGTGTAAAATAACTTTGATTTCCTAACATTATCTCTGGGTTCTTGATGTCAGAGGAGGAATTAAATCAAGTTCGTGAGCTGTTTATGCAAGCGTCAGATAATTGTTTGAACTTGAAGAAACCTGAATGAAGAAAGTTCTTATTTAGTTGCTTGTGTTCATGGTGGGAGAGATTAGCACTTTGGTATCTGCATGCCACAACTTCATCACTATACTTGACATGAATCTGCAGGAGGATTTTCCATAGAACTCTTACATACATGAAATAACTAGATTTTTTATGTTTTAAGTTGTACATGTCATGCTCGTGACCTTTTTGTAGAAACTAGATTAATTAGTGATATGATACTTGTAATTATTTTGCTCTTCCCGAGGAAAAGACTTATTTCACCCAACTTTGTACCAAATTTCGTAGTATGTGCCTATGCCTGTGTTCCCAGTTGATTAGATGAGTGTTTATTTTACATAAGACATCTTATAGTGTTGTGATTGATTTAGAGTAAGGAGACCTCTTCGTTTCATACCAAATTCTCTCCTTTTCTAGTTTTAAGTTTATATATTTACCTTGAAACCTCGTCCAGAAACAGCAATCCCCACACATGCAACACTCATGGTTGGGTTGTCCTGTAACGTCAGTTCCTTTGCTTGTCATGTTTTGTAGTTTCTGTTCCGTGCGAGAGAGGAACAGAAGATAATTGATAAATGGTAACACGTTTTAGTCTCACCGTGTTTTGTAAGTTTGCTGCCTAAACAAGTAAATGCCACATAGAAAGTTAGGCTAAAGATGTAATAGGTCATGTGTTAACACAAGCACTTTTGTTTATCCATTCAAAATAATTTTAATACGTGAGATGAGATCTCGTTTTATATAAAAAATTTGAGAGATTTATTCGTTGATTTTCTCTTGTGGAGACGTTTAAGGAGAGTGATAAGTCAGATAATGACATTCTTTCCGAGCTAGCTAGCCTTGTCATATAGTATCCGGTCCTTTTCCCTCCGTAGTGATAATTCATCCTGGTCTCATTGCCTCGCAAGAGAATGGTAGATGAAGATTTCTATTGCTAAATGAACCATTACAAGGGGGAGTGCGGAACATCGGTTAGACAAAAAGGCTACGTGGAATTCGGAGAAACATTGTCTGCGGTAAAACCACTACCTACACTCTGCAGTTCAACGTTTGAGAGAAAAGAAAAATTGCATGGTCAATTATTAGATTAAGGGTTTGTTTGGTGGACAGGATAGGACAATGGTAGGATATGATATGGGGCTGATAAAGGTAGGATATGATAAGAGGCTGATAAGCTAATATCATGTCCTTTGTTTGATGAGCACCTGATTAACAATCTGACAAAATTATGTAAAAGGAGAAAGAAAAAACAAAATATAATGCAATATATACAAATATATTGGGTAGCGTAGGGATATATTGGGTATCCAATATTAGTATCCTATCTTGTTGAATCTTAACTCAGCTCTCCCCATAGGATAAGAAATCATGTATTGGATAAGATAAAACGAGACAATAAGATAAGCTAATCATATCCTATTGACTCACCAAACAAGAGATAAAAGTAGAATATGATAAATTATTCTATCCTATCTTCTTTATCAGGTGCTCCAAACAGGCCTTAAAAGTATATATTGTCCTTATTGTCCGCATATTTTATTGTATAACTCTACAAAAGAGAAAAGAAAAAAGAAATAAGGAAGTAGCTCAATAAGAAGGCCGTTAAGGGGTTCAATGGGATCGTCTCAGCAGTAAAAACAAATTAAAACCCAAAACCAAGAGAATGTTTGGCTTTAGGCTTTTATTTGCTTCACCTACATGTTGTATAATTGAGCACAGCATTAGAAGCCACATGTGGTCAACATTCAACATCTGCACTTTGTGCGAGTTCATTAAGATATGATATTTGCCCTGTACCATACTATCATCACTTCTTCCCCTTTAGTCTTGACCGACATAAATCCGAGTCATATACCCGTCTACTCTGAACCCCAAGTTATGGTTGCGCTACTAAACCTGCTATAAGTTTACAACCGTTTAACGGCTGATTGACCAAAGTGATTTTATTTTTATTTAAAAAAAAAATAAAAAAATTCCAATCTAATCTACTTTGAAAATTAGTTACTAACTTATATCACTAAAACCAAAGTTAATCACGTGTAAGAAGACCCTCCAAAAACTCAAATTTTACGGACCTAATTCATACTCGGCCATTGGCGGACAAAATACAAGAAAACAAACGAACCGCTGGAGCTTCTGTGGATGGAGAGGACGTCGAGGTAAGTGGGCATTTTCGATTTGGAAGCCATATGAAACCTGAATCCGAATGAAATATTATATCACTAATGTTGGATGAATCATATTACAAATGCTGTCTTTTAAAATTATCTCACTAGTTTACTGCCGAAAAGGAGTGAGTGTCTATCAGTAAACCCAACACGTGCCTAAACATTTCTAGAAGTTCTACCAGCTTTCTAGCATGAACGAAACCTACAAAACTGATCTTTTGTTCATGTGGTATGGAACAGAGCAATGCACTAATTGCAATATTTAAAAATACAGTTTTAAGGCCTAAATTTTTAGCTTTACTAATTTTGGAAGATAGCCAGTATCCAATAAAATAAAAAATACAAGAAATCGTAGGCAAAAGCATGCACGTCTAAGTCTAAAAATGCTCTTCCGAATTGAATGCCAAATAAGACGAAAGTTTCTACCTGCGATTCAAACATTGTGATTTGTGAATTTGTAAGACAATTTTTCACCGGTAGAATTCAAATACAACTACAGTAAGAAACCTAAAGTCCAAGAAAAAATAATTATGATACCCACATTCAAACAACCAAAAGGATTTCGCTGGATCATCGTTTACTATACAGAGATCAAATTTAATAATATTTTAATTCAGACACCACCTTTTACTATACATAACATTAATATCAGCAACCATGACAACTAGTAAATCTGTACAAATTTTTCTTTTAAAAAATCATTAACAGTTTAGGAAATAAATCCAGGATTTATTTTCAATGTTCCAATTTAGTCTCTGCGTCCTTAAAATGCCTCCCATGGTCAAAGCTCCCTCATAATGGCTTCCCATCAATGTCATCCCCACATCACTAATCAGTCCAGATTCATAAGCACTACAGAATATAGCACCTGCGATGATACAAAAGAACAAAGGTGACTCTTATAATTCCAGTTAAATACAAACATAAAAGCACGATGGTTTCCATATCAGGCCGCAAGACACGGGAACTTACTAGAAAGGATAGAAATCTCGTTTGACATTTGTACAGCAACATAGCCAATTCAATAAGTCAAAATTAAGCCTGCTCTCTAAACATCTTGGAATCAGCCAAATTTGAAGCTTCATCAACTAAGCAGGCCATTCATAATTCTACGCGTTGTTTCTAAAAATTGATTTTTATAAAACATATTCTGGTGTTTGGGGATCAACGGATTCCTAGTTAAGTAGTGTAAGACTACATTTATGTAATGCGAGTTCAATAAGATACGAGTTAGCAATTTTCCGCCAGCAGGTAACTTTCATTTGACAAATTAAAGCCTTAATATTCTCTAAATTTTGCCTATTCTCTTCCTCATGACTCTAATACCTAATCCTAACGTTTTAACCGGTTAGACTACGAACCACCCATAGTGTCTATAGTCTGATTGATCTTTATAATGTTGTCCGGTTCAACCCTGGTTGAGCTGTCAACTTTGTCAGTTGAACCATTCAAACCATAACCCAGTAGTTTTGCCGGTTCAATTTTTGAATCATTAACACCAAATAATGAGGCTCTTTTCTTCATATCGAAATTTCGTTGTCACCCCAAAGGAGGCCACGTGGGGTGTATTTATGATACTAATAGCTTCCTAATTATGTTTATACAAGAAATCCGAATATCAACTTGTATTGTACCAAGTGAAAAGAACAAAGTACGAGTTACCAGCAGCAGATCAGAATTAGCGAATCTTTAGCTTTGGGTGCATTCAAACGGGCGCAAGCGCAGCGATCCTTCGGGAAACTCATGCATTCTAAACGGTTCCAAAAGCTCAAAGGGCCTGCGGAAAACACAATTACTTAACGGAATATATCCTAACAACACTCTTTCTGGAAGCATCAAGGGGAAGACCATTTAATTAACAGATCAATGTAGCGCAGAAATAGAGGAAGGATGGATCAAAATATCATGCCCAATTCACAAATAATGACAATTAAATGGAAGACATTAAATCAAACCCTCCTAGTCAATTGCCTGACGTGTATCACCTGGGTACAATGTCCAGATTAGAAGTGTAGCCTATATTATAAGATTAGGATAAAGCCAAGGAGCAGTGATCAAATTAGCAACTTCTGACTCCATAGAGTAGACTCGCAACATTAAGAGTGGAATAGTAGATTAGCTCAACTAATATAGAAGTAAAGTTGGACATGTTAGAGAGTATGACTCCCAACATTAAGAACAGAATGATAGACTGAAATGTAAGTCATGCTTATTGCCAGGCAATGTCACCATCAAATTTATTTCTAGACAGGCTTGCAAGGCATTATGCTTATAATAAACTACCTGAACATTAAACCAGCAGCATAACTATATCCCTGATATTCCCATATCAAATAGAAGGTTTCATGATCCTTACAGGATAGTATCACGGTTACGGGATAATTTTTGTTGATTGCTCTCCATAGCAAGCAACACATCACCAGTTTCTGGTCCTGCTGAACCACCAGCTACAGAAGATGGAACAGGAGCACTTGGAGTCCATATCTAGAGTAATTCACCACCAGAAAGCTTTCAGGGGTTGAAATTTTTATTAACCCGAAAGATACCATGAATCATAGAATCATCATTCTCACCTTTATTGTGCTATCAATCCCACTGGTTGCCACAACAAAATCAAACGGATGGCATTGTACACAATTTACAACTGTAGAAGGAAGAAACATATAGCTTCAGAAAACCATACAAGAGAGTACTAAATCCGATAACCTTAGGGAAAACAATGTTACCGGATTCATCACCATTCAGCATTTTTATGAGTCTACCAGTCCGCTTTTCCCAAATAAACCATCTGCCATCATCGCTTCCACTGGCAACATATTCACCTACAAATAAACAAGTTAGACGATCTTAAATATGAATAGCAACTATGGGTGGACCAATTGTTAACTGAAACTCACCATTTACTTTCTAAAGATGAATAATCAAAATGAGGATATTCACTAATGCAGAATATAAGAGCACTCATGCCAAAAAATACGACAAAACCATATTTTCCCGGTGGCTATGCATATATCATACAAACCAATCCTTTTCATTTCCAAAGAAGATATTGGCATTCAAAGTAAGAGAAACAACTCAAAAGAAGATATAATTTCATCTACTTCAAGGGAATCGAATTTTTATTTTATTTTAAAGAATAATATAAACCATTAAAAAAGCTCTCACCCAACACCTTAAGGTTTTGGGTTGAAGTGATTCTTTACATGGTATCAGAGCTTCAGTGACCATAAGATCACGAGTTCGATCCTCACCGACCCCCCACTTGTGGAATTAAAGAAGCATAAGGTAAACCAAAAATTAGGCCTATGCAATAATCCACGCTTCAAGCCCAAAGGACTCTTGCGTGAGGGGGAGGGGGGATGTTAGAGAATAATATAAACCATTAAAAAAGTCTTCACCCAACACCTAAAGGTTTTGGGTTGAAGTGGTTCTTTACACTTACCATGTAAATGAAAATGTAAATGTGAAGTGGTTAATAATTGGTATTGAATTAATTAAAGCCAACTCTTTTTGGTACACACATACATTTATCCTTGGCAAACTCCATCAGGGCAAGAATACCATGTGAAAATAATATAGCAACAAAGAGAGAGAGAGAGAGAGAGAGAGAGAGAAACAAAATATCTTGTTTTTACAATGTGTGTTCAGTATAAAACAATATAAAAACTTTTAACAGCTGAATCTAAAATTTACAAAATCATCTATGAAATACTATACCTCTTTGACCAAGAAAATTGGCCTGTTTTATATCAGTCCCAACATTGCAGTGGCCGATAAATCTCTGCTTCATATCAATAGCTGCTTCAGGCTGCATGATTAACAAAAGAGTAAAAATTATCCAAAATGTATTAGTAATTTATGTTTAGCATAATAACAAAAACAACATCATCAAAGAATAGAAGCACCAACATGAAGCAATAAAAAGGTCTTACAAAAAAAAAAACATATATCTAAAGAATAATGGAAAGTTCTTCTACAGAACTTGAAATATGAAGGTTGTTCCACCCTTCCCACATAACATGAATCATTTACAGTTTAGGATTATGCATTGGAACCAATAGAAAGGAAGAAAAAGAAGCATCAAATGAAACCATTAATCCCAGGAAATAAACTTAGAAGAAAGCATCATTTTTTGGAAGGATCATATTGATGAGAAAGCAAATAATAAGAATGAAAGTCAAGGATAGAAATGTAAACCTGATAAGCCGCTCTATTGTTCTGTGATGATGATGAGGGCGATTCACAAGAGCCATTTGCACCAGCATTTTCTTGGGAGTCACCTCTTCGATGAATTCTAAGATTTAAACTCCCATGAAGAATATTTGATTCAACATCATGTCCCTCATCACCAGATACTGATGTTTCAAAGTCCAACTCCAATTCCTCATCATAATCGGAATCATCCCTCTCTGATCTGGGACCATCTTGTGAAGCATCACTATTAGCCTCCGAACGATAGAGTATGTCACTCAATGATAATATTCTTCCACCTTGCCTGTCAAACCTTGATACTCCATCATTCGTCTTACTATTTTTCTCAGCTTCAGCTGGTTAAAAAACAAACTAGTTAGATACACATAAAATCATAAGAAAAAAAGATATGGCATGTAACTTTCTTATCATAAAAAAGAAATATTTGGAAATCAGATTAATTATTGTGTATCAAATTTTAGCAGTTTTGGAGATACAGTATTAATCAATATGCTAATATCAATGGCCTTCATAAGAAAAAAGTGTAGCATGTTTCAGTGAGCTCAATGGGACATAAACTGTTTTAGGGGAGGAAGGCAATTCACAAACTTCATTAACAAAAAAGTAGAAGAATAATTATTGATGAATTTTCACATACATGCATTCAGAAACAAAAATGTAGCAATTCAATATAGACATTCCTATAATTAAATCCAGACATGAAACCCATCTTATCCATACCTAAGGCAATATCCTTCTTCACATTCTCCACTCTTTCTGCAACTTCAGATTTGGATGGGGCCAACAAGTGGGAAGCAATAGCAAAATCCAAAGCTTCTTGATGTTTACCCAACTGCAACAAAATAACATTTGGAATTAAGTATAATGGGTTTTTGAACTGAATGGACAGGTTCTGCTATGAAAGAGTATGCTTGAAGCAAACCGATGGCATGAAAATGAAGTTAAAAAGACCCATACAAGTCCCTCAGGCCAAAAGTCAAAACATAAATTCATAGATAGTGGTAGCTGATTTATCAGAAAATAAACCCCTGAAATCTCAAATTTCTTTCAGAGCTTATTGAAATTACATACAGGCACTATCTTTCGCCACAGATCATATCAAGCAGGGTTAATACCACAATTTTTTCTTTCTTCAATCAAAATTTTCACAGATAAACAGGCTTCAACCTACTCTTTGATTGTGCTTTGTTTCTTTCTGGATTTCTATGATCTTCTGTCTCTACGCTTTACTTGGTATTCTGTAATCTACATAAAAAAAAGTTGAAGTGTAGATTCAACTATCATGCTTCTCACCTCTAATGTCCAATCATAACTGCTACCGAAATCGTATGTGTTCAAGATAATTCTAATGTAAATAGTTCTCTTTTAATATTCAAATTCCCCTTCCCATCTCCACCTCCGCCCACAATCCCTCTTAAAAAAACTTGTGCATAGAAGAAAATATTAAGAATCGAAGTCAATGACAGGTGCTTCTGCTTCAATTATCTCTCCATTCTCACTACTGCAGCACCTTTATGAAACTCAAATCTACACACGCATATAGAGAGAGATATTCTCAAAACGAAACATAAAAAAATTAAAAAAATACACAAACTCAAAGAGTCCCTCCATTATTAACTTCATCCATATGAGCACACTTCCCTCTTTTCTCTTTTATGGAACTTTGGTTTCAATCAAACAAATATTACATGACCCTGCTAATTTATCCTATTTTAAATATGATGCTTAATGCACTTTGACAGATTCAAAAACCAGCATGACACATTTTTCAACTAAGATTCAAAGTAAAAACATCCAAAAAATGTGGTTCATACAACCAAAATTACCTGTGACAATGCTTCTGATATATAGTAAAGTGCTTTATAGGAGGAATTATCAATTTTCCTAGCAGCATAGCAGTCTCTTATAGCCATATAAGCATCGTTTTTCCACTTTCTCTGGATAGGGGTGGAAATTTCAAAAACATATTTCATCAGGAAAAAATAAAAATAAAAATCCAAACTCAAAGAAAAAATGCTTAGACCCAATTTGGCAACATTAAGCAGAACCTTAAGCAATAGTGCAGCACGAGTACACAGGCATTCATGTTTTAGCGCAGGTCCAACAATATGACTGTAGGCACTCAAAACATCATTACAAGCCTCAATTCCATAATAGGGAGTCCCCTCGTCCAAAGACTTCTTAGCATATTTTATTAGTTTCCTGCACTTGTCAAGCTGTGAAAGCCAATTAGTCAACAAAATACTATCAAAACAAAAGAAACATGCTCCTAGTTACACCACAGAGCTACAGAAAACTCATTCCTAGACAAATTACCAGATTTAATATAAAAGAAAAAAAGCATACACTGCATACCTTTGCAGCAATGTTCTTTTTAACAGGAAAACCATTTGGGAAGACATTAGATACAAAAGGCTGCAATTCTAACCCATTAATTGTTGGAGAGTAAGTCATCATCTTGGAAACATCTCCTGAAGTATATTGCATCTCATCCATTCCATCTGCAAATTGCAAGAATAAGTATGACCTTAACAACCTTTGTAGCATGAGCTCAATGTAAAATGCTTTACCATGATTTACATTCATCAAGTAAACATGCTCTCCACTATAGCTAAGGAGAACCTCACATCCATCAGGACTGAATGTAACATGAGTTAAGTGCAAGCTTGGATGTCCCTGGAAGAAACAAGAAACAATTTGAGTGCAAGAATATCTGGCTTAAAGTAGCAGAAAGACTAACATGTGCATAACATGCCAAGGAGGAAAATGGGTGAGAGAATATGATAACGTAATAACTTATAGCACCTACATTATATGTGACATTAGGTATGCAGAATGGAAGATTCACATTACAAACCACATAGGTTTGGTTAGGGCGTAGGAATTACTAATGATATTTCTGACTGCAACATTGTTTAATCAACATCAACACCTTTATCCCAAATTAATTGGGGTCGGTGATAGATGAACCCAAATGAAAGATACAAAAAGATTGAAAAAAAGAAATATAAAAGTAAAAATAAAAATAAAGATAAATAGAATCGTAATAATATATATATAAAAGTAAAAAAGAAAGGGAAAAGAAGAAGAGGGGGAAATGGAGGGAAAAATGACTAAAAAAGGACCATCTGAAACATAGGAATAACAACGGGTCTAACCCTCCACCATGCTTATAGCTTTTCTCCATTCCGTTCTAAGGCATACCGTCCGTCAATCTATATCCCACTCTATTAAATCTTGTTTTACTACCTTCCCCCAACTAAGTTTCGGTCTACCTCTACCTTTTTTTTTGTTGAGCTCTTGGTAACAAACTTCTGTTCTTACGGGAGCATCCAGGGGCCTTCTCATTACGTGCCCAAACCAACTCAATCTATGTTCTCTCATCTTCTCAACCACCGGTAGTACTTCTACCTTTCGTCGAATATCTTCATTTCTTATCTTATCTATCCTCGTATAACCACACATCCATCTTAACATCCTCATCTCTGCTACTCCCATTTTATGCTCATGTTACCTATGTGCTGGCCAACATTCAGCTCCATATAGCATTGCAGGTCGTACTGCTGCTCTATAGAATTTTCCTTTTAACTTAAGGGGGATTTTGCGATCACACAAAAATCCAGATGCATTACACCATTTCATCCACCCTGCTCTGATTCTATGATTTACATCCTCATTAATCTCTCCACCTTTTTGCAAAATGGAACCTAGGTATTTAAAAGCATCTTTCTTGGGTACCTCTTGACCACTTAGATGCACGGGATCTTGGTCTACATCTCTTACCAGAGAAAACTCACACTTCAGATACTCAGTCTTGCTCCGACTTAATGTGAATCCTTTAGATTCCAAAGTGCTTCTCCACAATTCAAGTTTTCTATTAACACCATCTTTGCTCTCATCAATAAGCACAATATCGTCTGCAAAAAACATACACCATGGCACTTCCTCTTGAATATATTTTGTTAGTTCATCCATTACTAAGGCAAAGAGATAAGGACTTAGAGCCGACCCTTGGTGTACACCTACCGTGATAGGGAAATAACTTGATGTTCCGTTACAAGCTTTCACACATGTAGTAGCCCCATCATACATATCCTTGATTGCCTTCACATACTTTGATGGTACCTTTTTCTTCTCCAGAACCCACCATAAAACTTTCCTTGAAACCCTATCGTATGCTTTCTCAAGATCTATGAACACCATATGTAAGTCCTTTTTCTTTTCTCGATATCTTTCCATTAGTTGTCGCATCAAGAAAATGGCTTCCATGGTACATCTCCTGACATAAATCCAAATTGATTTACAGAAACCTTGGTATCTCTCCTCAAGCGATGCTCAATAACCTCTCCCACAACTTCATAGTATGGCTCATGAGCTTAATGCTTCTATAGTTAGAACAATTTTGTATATCTCCCTTGCTTTTGTAGATAGGCACAATTCCCATTACTGCAGCATTGTTTAATATGGAAATCAAATTACTATGAATCTTGAGTTCTTTTCCCAAAACCACCTGTATAATATTAACAACACAACCACTAACCCCACCATGGCTGCCACTACCACAGCCACAATGCCATCGATCACCTCCATGGCCACCACCACAGCCATGGCTGTCATCGCCTTCATGAATCATGACTGTCACCATGGTTACCAATACCTCCCTCAAGACCTAAAAATGCCCATACCAACAGCAGATGTTTGCATCTTAATGGAACACAGATGGATCAAGAGTGCACAATACCATCATTTTGAATTATGACGAGGATGCCCAATACGTGGGAATCCAACATAATAACTTACCCACTTACCCCTCTAGACTGGAACAGAATTCCCGATTCTGTGGGAATATTGCATTCCTTCAACTCACACAGAACAAGGGTGTTTGACATTCCAAACCTATCATTGACAGGAAACTTACAGTACTTTACATACCAAAGACCACAGATATCTTATCAACAAGATTATTTATACCTATGATAACATGCACTGATAGCCGATACTTCATTCAAGTATCATATATAAAGTTTGATAAAATTCATAAGAGAAAGAAACATGCTTCAGCATAGGTGAGGAACCTGTACAAAAAATAAGAATCCTAACCCCCACCCATTACGAGTTACACTCCAAAGGAAAAGGTAGAGAACATAAGTTAACAGGAAGATATGAGTTTTTGTTTTACATAAAAGAAAAGCTTTTATCAGGGATAATAAGGAAAGAAATACAAGAGAAAATGACAATATATCCACCCAAAATAAACCAAACAATACAGAAGCCAGAAAAACAAGAAAAGTCCATCAATAAGCAAGGCTTGACAAATATTCAATTTTTTGTTTTTGTTTCTGTTTTACAAGGTTTCCTCATCCTACTTATTGCATTCTCTTTCGCCTCTTAAAGAATTCTTCATTTTACCCAAAAATTAAAGGAGTTGTGATATCCCCCTTCCCAATACTTAACAGATTAAAAAAGTGACTGAATATAAACACTTCAAAAGCGGATAATAGTAGATCAGTAAAGCAAAAGACTAACACGATCAGAAAGATGCATTGGACAGAAATAATTAACACAAGGAGGTGGTGACATTCTTTTCCGACAGGAGCTCAGAGGGGGTAACATCCTCCTATCATATAATCGTGCAAAGGCATCACTGCAAGAAGTAGAAAATCTAACATCAGTTTGGAATAGAAAAATGAATTAAATTAAATATAGCATCACCAGAAATATTTACCTCCCACCAACAACGAGCAAATGTGGTCTAGTTGAACTAATATCACAAGATTTTAGAGCAAGGACTTGTTTAGGAGGATCAGCAAGTGACCTTTTAGCTCCACTCCGTAAATCAAGCTGACATGAAGCATCAAACATGAAAATCAATAAATGAAAAACACCACGGATTTCAGATTTAGAAAACAATGATCATAGTTCATCGTCTTCCTGACTAACTTTCAGATGAAAAAAGAATTACATTATGGAAACACTGTTGACATCCTAACTATCTTCTCTACGAAAGTCATTTAATTTCCAGAAGATTAAGAAAAGGCATAATGAGAGCATTGGGAGATCGAAGATGTGACCATAATATCGAGCATAGAGATGTTTGTAAGTTCTCATTATTGATTTCCCTTGAGATGCCTTGGTGATATAGGTTTCCAGTGTGCACTTAATAGTTTTAGGATGTAAATGAGCAATAATAATTAATAATCCATGATAGTTTGAAAAACCAGGAGAAATATCGGTATAACAAGAACATGTTGAATTCTTACCATTGCTACATGAAGAATAGAAAGAAAAGTTCAGTTTTTTCCCCTCCCTCCATCCACGAGCATCTTTCCATTTTTTTTAAGAACTAAGAAATGCATAATTAAAAGGAAAGCATTTTTTATAAAGAAAAAAAAAAGGCATCAAATAAAATATTTTATCACGAGATTACATCCAGCAACATCCTAGAGCAGGTTCCAGTATAATCCTACAGTCCTACTACCTTCCACGTTAAATTATAGAGAAATGATTATAATTGACATTCGACAAGCAACCAGCAATTGAGGCAAGTTTCCATTTAATAGAATACAAAAAAGCTTATTAACCAGATCAACATGCCTCATAGGCTCATATATGCTGGAATGGATGCCTCTGCAAATGCTCTAACATAGCAGATAAACTAATCTACAGCAGTATTTTCATTGGAAAGTTTAAATATTACAAATAATGACTTATCCACTTGCACATGTAGGAAATTTCAAATACTTAATCCAACTCCAAATGTTCATCTGCCAGAGAAGGTTCAATTGCATTCAAAAATTGATAAGTAGAAATGACTACAACTGAATTAAATCACTTACTAGAACACTTCGACACTCTTGTTGTGAAGATCCTGCTGGAGGACAAGAGGTACCTTCCCGATAATCATGCTGTCTTATGGTCCCATCTTCACTAGCACTCCATACCATATTGGGGTTTCCATTTTCAACCTGCAAAAAAGGAACACAGATGACATGAAAACTTACAGGTGCAGATTAAATCAGATATTCCCACATAAACTACGTTTGATTTCCTTTACCACACATGAAAACTTACATTGATGTGACATTCTTAAAATAATGCTAATTTAGGATTTTCTTAGACCACATAACTTACAGCCAGTTTCTTGACTCTTCTAGAATGGCATTGGTAATGTGCTGATGGAGCAATGGCATTATCACTAGATCCTCTCCCACTTAAGTGAGACAAATTAAATAACCGGACCTGCCAAAAGGAAAAATATATGAAATTAGAGAATTATATTCCCATTAACCACGAAAATAATTGTATGGATCATAGCATTACTTCAGCATCTCCAGCTCCAGAAACTACAAGTTCATCAGAAGTTTCTGGTACAAACTTAGTGCAGAATATATTTGCAGAATGTCCGGTGTCAATTGAATGCAAAAGTTTTCGACCAGAATAGCTCCAAATATTAATCTGCAAAATTTCATGCAAATCTCTCAATCTGTTTGCAATCTTTTAAGACTGAACTCATCAAACTAGTCACGACTTAATAAATTTAAAATATAAATTTCAAAATATATCAGGCAAAACAAGACCCAAAGCAACCAAAATTTATTTTCAGTAGTTTCATGCTTCATGATCAACCTCTCTACTTGGTTCAAAAAATAAATCATAACTGTGTGAGTACAAGAAACAAGCACAACACGTAGAAGAGATGCCAAAGTCTCTTGATGAAAGCAAAAGGGAACTCGCAAACCCATTTAATCATGGAAAAGTAAACTATGTTTAAATTCCAAGTATAGAGGAAAATTTTACAAGGCAAAAATCTATATGAAATAGTATATCCAATACTTCCATGGACCCAAAAATATGTCTAGGATTATTTCTCATATACTTATACTCCAATAAGAGATATATTGTTAGGACCCATTTGCAAAGTATGGGACTTGGAGTCCCACATTGGTTGTATGGGCAACTAATGCGACTCCCACCCTTTGAGCTAGCTTTTGGGATGGTGCATTTCAAGATTCTTATCAAATAGTATCAAAGTCTTCCACTATGTCTCTCGGTTGCAATCGAGCGGTGCGGATGGTGACACTGGCATTGCAGAGTTTGCCTAGGGCTAATAAAATACTAGCGGAGAACCGGCCGGCATGAGCGCCGGGGCTGCGGAGGGTGGTGGAATATTAGGACCCATTTGCAAGGTATGAGACTTGAAGTCACATATTGGATGTATGGCAACTAATGTGGGGTTTATAAGGCCTTGGGCACTCCCACCCTTTGAGAAAGCTTTTGGGGTGGTGCATCTCAAGATTCCTGTCATATATTTTCCAAAAAAAAGAAAGAAAGAATCTCCCACGTAATATGTACTAAGTTTTAACATTTTTTTTTCTGTTTTACATCTTAGCTACCATCTAGTGTATGTACAGATAAAAAATATAAAATTGTGTCATACCCGTGTATCATCTGATCCAGATATCAATAACGAACCTTTGGAATTCCAAGCCACCGCATTAACGCAGCCAAGGTGGCCCTGTTCAAATCATGAGCAGAAGGACAACCAGGGAAAGGCAACAAACAAAATGAGGTTCCATTGAATCTGAATCAGGGTAAAACGCACAGCAATTGAAGCAAACAGCTATAAGCATTGGAAGAGAATGTAGTTGCAATCTATGGGAACGTAATGGCAGCATTTTTAACAAACTGATATTCAAAAAGAAAAACCTTCATTTACACAAATTTATTTCAACATGCATAATAGCAAGTGCTAAAATCAGTTAAAAACGAGGACCCATATGCAAATACCGCAAATTTACAATAATACAGTAAATCAACAATGAAGAGCAGAACATTACATAGCAGATTGGCATTTCTTACTTTCAAGTGCGTGAGTGTGTTGTTTGATGAATAATAATTTCGAAGAATATTCCCATGGATGCTAATTCTACTAATATAGTTCCACGATACGCTAGTAATTTTAGGCATCTTACCAACCTCTAACTCTCTCTCTTGAGAAAGCCTCCGAATCAACGAGGAGTGTGTCTGAAGACTATGATTAACATCCTGAACAAAAACAACAGTAACATTTTCTTAGTCAAAACCACACGACATGACAAAACATCATGGGTTTTGTCAAAATTATGATCCACCATATTGAAAATCAGAATTCGCAAGCTAATCTTAACTATTAAGCCCTTTTGAGTTTTCAAAAAAAAAAAAAAAAAAAAAAACTGAAAAAAGAAATCGAAGAAGAATACTAGACGAGTGTCGAAATATCGGGTCTCGAGAATCTTGTGGATGTTGCCATCGCGAAAAGGAAGAGAATCCATTGCAGAAGAAGAAGTTCCCAGAAATCGCCTGTGAGAAAGTTAAAGTAACCACAACTCGATCGCCGTGAATGACATCAATACCAGCTGAGGCGGTTACACTTTATAATCCTCTGCACATACCCATACCCTTTCTTTCTTGCTTCTCTTCTCAACAATTCCTTTTTTGTTTATTATTATTAATATTATTAATTTTTTACAACTTATAAATCAAATTCTCAATTACATTGATTGATAAATATTGTAAATCTTCATAATTATGATAATTACAATTATAGTGTGAGATTTGTTTTGGTAATTCAAGGAGTGCGAGCGTGATATGTAAGCACTCCTGATCAGTGCAGTGGCTGTGCATGATTGGCTCCGACAATGTTATGTATTGTTGAGGCAAGATTATGATTGTGAGAGGCAAAATTATATGTATTTTTTTTATTTTAATCATGTAGATTAAAATAAAAAATTATATAACTAAATGAAAATATTCATAATATACGGGCCAGACGGTATTAATTAATAATAAAATAAAATATAAATATTAATAATAAAATTAATTGTGTTGATTGTAAAATAAAATAATTCTTATTAATTATATATCGATATAAAATTTAGATAGATATTGAATATAATTGAGATTGACTAAAATATAATATGTATTTTATTAGGTTCTAATTTTATTTTATTTTGGTAAACAGGTTCTAATTTATTCTGTAGTTAATTTTCAAATTCTAATTTTATTTATTATATGTTGATATTTAGATGTGTATTTATTTGATATTGGCTAGATAATAAAATCAAGTTTATCATATTCAAATCTATTTTTTAATTAATTTTTAATCTAATTATTTTATTTTATTTATTTAATTATTATATATTAATATTTAGATAGGCCTAAAATATATTGACATTGATTAAAAAATAAATTATTATATTATGTTTAATTTTCTTTAAACAAGTTTATTGCTTGTATATTTGAAATTAATTAAAATAATATTGATTTTTAATAAAATAGGCAAACAATAATGAATAATTATTGTAATAATATGATTGACGGTCAATTTCACCATGATGATTATGTACCGTGAGCAACGTGCACAACGAAGTACGGACACACAAATTTTTTTTAAAAATGCGTGTCAAATATGTGTCGAACATTGATACATTCCAACACGTATTTTTTAGATTTTGAGATACGTGATTAATGTTTCGACACATTTTTTTTAGGTTTTAATTTTATTTTACTAACTAAACATAAAAATAATAATTTATAAATCAATTTTTTTCTGTTATCAAATTTGACGTGAAAAATTAAACATGTACGAAAAATTATTATTTTTTATGTTTATGTTATGAAATTTTAATATTTGATTGGTTATATGATTTATTGTAGGGCTGTTATATTTATTAGATATAAATTATATTATATATATTAAAAATATTATTTAATATTAAAACGTGTCCTAATATGTCAAAATATAATATTTTTAAAATTAATGTGTTAGCATATCGTGTCAATCTATCTGCAACATACACATGTCACCTGTGCCTCTAAGCTCGAGTTTATTGCTTGCCAATACCATGTCATCATATCTCTGTTTTTATAATTTTTGTCTTTATTCTCATCGTCTTTTAAATAATAGAAAACTCTTACCAGCCCATGGATCTAATACCCATTGTCACCATGGGCCTAGCCCAACATAAACACAGCTTATAATCTAACTTCATACGAAGAAACCATTATTCCTATTTCAGTTATAAAAGATTTACATTTAAATTATCAGGACTCAAAGTTTTGCAAGCTGAGCTGGAAATTATGACCGTAATACCAGAAAAATCAAATTTTATGTTAGCCTAGCATGCAATTAGACGACCCATGTGTACACAAGCGATGGAGAATAACCTTCTTTCAAACTATTTCCACTTTTGTCAACTAAATTTCGTAAATATAAATATCAGGAAATAGAGACAAGAAGAACCAGAATATAGTGTGTGAAAAGTGATGTCTACTTAACAATTGTCTCCTTATACATCCCCTTTCGTCATTTTATTCGCGTTTTATTCGATTCCTCAGCCACTAAACTTGCTAATGGAGACATTAGGTATAACGTGAAGCACGCCATCTTCTTAGAGATGTAGTAATGGCTCAAAATATTCAGACCAACTCTATCTTTCGTAAAAGTAACTTATTGTTCTGTCCTCAGAAGGGAAAAACATGCATTTTCATATTTCAGATTTCGTATGAGGCTATCCTTTTGAGGAATATATGCCAGCCCCATCAACGAAGCCCCGTAGTTGAAATTTTTTTTTTTTTTTTGGGAGTATATTCTTGTTCGTTTAGTTTAATTAATTATATAAAATCACAATCCTCATTTTTCTTCAAATACTCGCCCTACAAGCTACAATTATCTAAGTAAAAATTAACCAGGGTGAAAAACAGGTCAGAATAGGTCTTATGTTTAATGGGTTTAGCCTATTTTTTAAATATTAGATCGGAATCTAACTTATTTACTTCATATAGACCCTTTTTTATAGCCTAACTTGGACTTTTTAAGAGTTTGGCATTGCTACAGAGTTGAGAGCATATTTAAAAGTTTACTTTGTAATAAACCTTTTATAAATCAACTAGTATATCTATAAATAGATCAGCGATAAAGTATACTACTTTAAAATATTGTAATAAAAATTAATTACAATGTAATAATAATAACAATAAATTATAGAAATCTCAAACTCCAAATTCATGTACACAAGTAAAATAAGAATTGTATTTTGATCACCAATAATTAAAACTAAAATTTAAATTTTAATGACGAGAAAGATGCCACACAAGGCCCAGTATTCTAATTGTAGTTCGGTGCTTGCAATAGTAATAATACTCACAAATTCGAATCTCTAGTGCACATATGTGAACCATAAATTAGTTGTTGACCAAAGGAAACCACTAAAGAAAAATGTATTAAAAACCACTTAGAATCCACCACTCTCTGTCATCCACCGAAAAAGAAAAAGAAAGAAAACCACGTACTAACATGCAACTCCGAGCATTGGTAGGCTTCAAATACACTGTAGAAGATCAATGAACACTGCTAGATTCTTTCTTTTGTTTGACACCTACCATGACGAATGACTATTCAGTATTCACCACAACCACGCCCGTGCTTCATTCTCTCTCTTATGCACACATAAACACACCCCACCCCTTCTTCGTAATAATTCAACGCTGTGGTCCCCATAGTCCCACACCACCCAGCCATATTTACATTGAACCAAAGACAAGACAACTTCTCATCAACGCAGGAATCATACAAATAAGAATAATAATTAACAAACAGTAGTAATTATAAAATAACAAAATAATTATTAAATAAAAAAACGCGTCACTTTCACATATCATAAATGCGGGCATGCGACGTAAATACATAAGCAAAAAGACAACAGTAACAACATCCATATTGAATAACATCCAACCAAAGAGAAATCCTCTTTACACACCAATTACGATACACACAACAACACAAACCCATAAATTTAATAGGGCACTGAACTAAACACAAATATCTGTTTCCCATAAGCGAGCTACATTACATTACTGTACCATCAAGTGGAAAATTGTGCATGAGTAAGTCCGGGGGCCCCCTTCCAGTTACCTCAATCTCTCACAGCTAGTGAAAATTTTGTTCATCTGAGAAAAGGGTAACCCGCAAAGGATCAAACATGACAAGGATACAAAAAGGAGAAGTAAGATTGGGCCCCATACCAGCTGAGAAGCGTGTACTCATTTTTGGGGTCCTTATCTGGAATAATCATAATTCTCACTCAAAATAGCTCATCCCATGCTTTGGGATGAGTGCTATTTTTTCCATAGTCCTAAGACATGGACTAATGATTCACATTTCCATTATTGCACTTAATACACTGAATAGCTCCCTGTTACAAACTACTACACATGAAATACACCGACACCAGCATCTTATCTCCCAAGTTCCAAGTCAAATCACTGAGGAAGGACTTCAGACAACTATACAAGGATTTCACACCTACTTTTGCTGAATCCCCCTAACACAACCATTACCTTGTTTATTCTGCAGAATCCTTGAACAACCAGCAACAGGCCATAACTTAAAATATAAAGTACTACTTAGACATGTCGGGCTAAGAATCCTCCAACTTAAAAGGCATCAAGTCCGAGCGCTTTAGCCTTGAGTTTCAAGGATTTCAAGCAATGTATGGCATCATCGAGAAGCATCACTGGGTCCTTATCCTTCCCGCCAGGAATTATGCTTTGCAGAATGCTCAGAACATCTCGTATCTTCTCCTTTCTCATCTTCTTATTGCCGGACATGGAACCCATTTCACCAAATCCTTCATTGTTGCCGCCAGAACATCTTGATTCTGCATCATCTCCCATGGCAAAGGTCTTGTTAAGATTCAGAGAACTGGCAGTATCCATGAATTGTATGTCATCATAATAACCATCCAATAGCTTCCTCTTCTTGTTTTTCCCAGCAGAGCTTGCAACTTCTTCTGCAATTCCCTTAAAGGGGCCATGGTTATCATGAGTGGTCATTGTACTGGGAGAATGCCCTGTGCTAGTAACTTCATCATCATCATCCTCAGTGGCATAGCCATCACTGTCCGAGTAAAGCAATGCATTAATTTCTTCTGTGTCTTCATGCATCTCGCTTTCAATGCCAGTCCCCTGATTCTCATCTACTTTATCAGCCAAAATTGGCCCAGTCACATGATTCAAATTCAAATCTCTTCCAAAAGAAGGTTCATTCCCACTCAAATAGTTAGCACCATGCATTTTTGAATGCAAAGAAGCAAGGCACTCATCAGGACTCCCGAACCTAGAACTATAGATAGTAGTTTGACCACAAGCCTGGTCAATAACAAGAAACTGCTTCTGAGGGGAGCCTGATTCACCATAGGGAGCAATTTTGTCCATAAAACCTTTCACGTGATCAGCAAGGGGTTTTCCCTCAGCTGTGAAGCTAGGAACAGGAGCAAATCCGTGCCGAAACCAACCAAGGGGTTCATTAAAATGCCCTAAATGCGAATGAGGTAGTGCAGAAGAAGCCAAAGCTGGCATTGTCTCATTGCTTGAGACCATATTGATGCCACGGTTTATAACTGCAGAAATACCATCTTGCTTCCCCATATCAGGGGGTCTCGAATTGGGTGATTGCCATCCAAATTGCAGATGTGGTATCCAGGTTCCACAATCTTTTCCCATTTAATCAGAACAATCACCTAAAATTTATATAAACATATACCATATAATCAATAATTAAACAACATAAAAGACATCTTTTAAAACAAATGAATGATAGTAATGTATAATATACCTGAAGAAAAACGTCTTCAACCCAAGAACTATCCGTTACAAAAGGTTTCTTTCACGAACAAGGAAAACAACTAAAATCACCAGATTAAACCACCCAAACAGAGCAAGGCAAAACAATTACGTTACAGGCTTGAGCAACTGACGAAAATATTCAGCCTGGACAATACCCAAAAAGCAAAAATTAACATGAGTTGATATATTGTTTTGTAGATCATGTCCTGTGCACAACTGAAAGAATAAAACAGAAAATTTGGCCAATCAACCATGGATCACATACCTGGCATTCTCTGAGAGGTTGAAAGCATGCTATAACCCTAACTATAATGGTGGAGCACCCTGCTGTTCCATTCTCATGTTTCAATGCCCGAAATCTCGTTTGACCAGCTGCTTGGCACACCATAACTACTTCCCAACCCTCTTCAATTAAAAATACAAGAACCACAATCTTGCTAAGGACAAATAATCTTAATAGATTTTTTTTGGAGAAAAATATGATTTTTTTTTTTTAAAGAAAAAATCACTATCCTTCAGCTGATCTGACGGACGAAGCAAGGAAGAATAACAAAGAAACTAGATCCCATGGAAATTAAGCAATAGAAGATGTGAAAGTTTAGATCAGACGACTCAAATTACAGAATCACTTTGCAATACAGATTCAAGGAAATCCCTTTGCGGAATACATCAACAGATAGACTACGCCACCACCGCATGCTGTTCTATCCTTACCCACAAAGAAAAAGTCACCTCTACTCCTTCACCCAAACCTATTTAGCACCCTGCAATATAATTTCAACATCAGAAATCAGGCAATTATTACTCCGCTCATAAAATTAAAAAGTAAAACAACAAAAAGATTAAAACTTTTTCACGAATCCTGAACCTTCTCGGTAGGATTATTCATGGGACTCAGCTCAACCGACGCAATATATTTCCAATTATGAACTAAAGGTTAATAAAAAAAGAACAAAAATCTTGAAATTACAGAACATCAAGCTCAAAAACGAAAACTAGCCCAAAAAATTTCGAAGAATAAAGAAAAAATTTATTTCTCTACGAGCGTAGTTACAAAAAAAAAAAAAAAAAAAAAAAAAAAAATTATCCTCAGCCCAATGAACAAATCAGGAAAAAAATCACAGTATATGCATAAAAAAATGAAGAACTTACAAGATAGAGAGAAAAAGAGAAGATATGAAGATTGGAGCTGAATCCCAAAACCGAAAAGTTAGGCAGAGACAGGGAAGAAGACTGAAAAGAGAGAAGCAGGTGAGGTGAGAGAGGACCAAGAACAGAGGAACAAGCGTGAATGGCTACAGTCAAAGTAGAAAGTGGAAAGTGGAAACTCCAACACACAAGACAGCACGGAGTTGAATTATATAGAGGATGCATTGACACATATGCCCTTGATTGAAGTGCATCAAATTATTATTTATTTATTAAAACTAATTGAAAGCCAAAAGAAAAAAGAAAAAAGAAAAAAAAATAATAATAATAATAAAAAGAAATGTGAGTGTGGATTGATTCATACGTGCGCGAGTGGTTAGGAGTGCACGCAAGGTATTAAGTTTACAATGATGAATCACACGGTAGCTTCACGGTTGTTTGTGAAAGAAAAGAGAGGAGGGGTGCGTGTCCCCGTGGATGGTTGTATCATGACATGACCTTGTTAAATTTTATTTTATTTTTCTTTCAATTAACCCAAGTGTCTTATTGACCACACCCGTGGGTTAGAACTCAACCACTCAGTCTGGTTGACCTTGTCTCAGTTTCACTGGACGAATCATGTGCTGCTCTTGCCTCATATTCACATTTTGAAATGCCTATTATAGCCTCATCAATAACCATAATGGTTAACTGTAGACACAACAAGCAACAATTTGATATTATGTTTTTAGTACTGGGTCGATTTTGATCACCAAATCTTTGTTAAATGGTTTTAATCTAATTTTGTATTACCCACGCCTCGATCACTTCATGATCCTCTTATACACTCAGCCATTTGATATCGTGTTAAAGATTTAGCACTGGCGGTGGCAGCTGAAACCACTCTTTGTATTGGTGCTAGTTAATATTACATCTTTTAAAATTCTTTAACGAAAGAAAATAATTTTTTTTTTTGGATAATTAACAAAGAAAATAATTAACAAAGAGTATATATATATAGATTCTATATATGTAGCTCGCCACCAGCAACATATTCCTTATCAAGGGTCAATTTTGTTTTCTTTTGTTAGCACTGAGAGCTTCTTTCCCACTAACTTGAATTATTATATTTTTCCATACCCCACACACCTTTCTAACTTCCGGATTCATTTGAATTTTACCATCGCAAAGTTGACGCCGAATATCTACTCCAAGATCCTTTTACGGTGTTTTTAAGATCATCTTATCAAATCAACATTTAATCCATTCATCCAAACAAACACATATATTAACAATCACCATATATAATTAGGGTACAAAATGTAACGTACCCTTGTCTGCAAATTGAAGCCTAAAAGCAAGCGCATAAACATGAAATGCATATATTATGGAAAGAGCAAATGATAGAAAGAAGATTTTTGTAAGAACATGGAAGGTAGGAGATTGGAGAGGGAAGTGTAAGGAGACGATAATGGGGTCCATTAGATGGAAAAGAAGAGAAGGTATCCAATGTTTTAACAATAACAATCAATGATTTTTAGCTTGACCGTTCAAACCAGAAATTATACAGATTTAAATTGGGGACCCACTTATCAGGAAATGGTATATCATGTCTCAAACTCACTCCTCTTGACGATATATCTCTCTCGTTATTAACCATCGATGCCTAACTTGGGACACTAACCATTCTGTCACGTTTATCAAAAAAATTTATCAGACTGTCACATTAACATTAAATCTTGCCAAAATGTCATATGGCATATTTCGCTACAATGTGTAGCAAAATATGTTTGCATATAATTCGCTACACAGTGTAGCGAAATATGTCATGTCAGGCTGCACAGTCAGCAAAAATGACACGTGTCAAGCATGCAGAAATTCGCTATACTGTGTAGCGAATTATGCTTGGATTCTGTCTGCTTGACACGTGTCATTTTTGCTGACTGTGCAGCCTGACATGGCATATTTTGCTACACTGTGTAGCGAATTATAAGCAAATATATTCACTATACAGTGTAGCGAAATATGTCGCGTGGCGTTTTGACAAAATTTACTGTTGACGTGACAATCTGGTAAATTTTTTTGCCAGACGTGACGAAATGGTCCCTGTTCCAACCTAACTTTAGGGTTTGGGTTAAAAAGGTCAATAGGTATTGGTCCCGTCACGGTGGTACATTTTTTTGTGTTCTGGGAGTAGATAGCCACTTTTCTAGAAGGAAGAAAAAATATATGAAAAAAATAATCATAAAAGTAGAAATAATATGAGAAAAAAAGTTATATTTATAATTTATTTTTATTTATAATCTCTTACAATTATATTTTAATTATTAATTTTTATCAATCTAATGGTTATAATTTATTAGGTCATATTTATTAATTAATTATTATTTTTTAATAAATTATAACTATCAGTGACAAAAATTAACAGTTAAAATATAATTATAAGAGATTGTAGAGGAAAATAAATTATAAGTATATCATTTCTCATAGTATAAAAGGTCATGTTACCTTTATAATTTTTATTTATTTATGACTCTTACAAATTCAATTATATATTTTAGAGAATATATATACTTGAGAGTATATTTCTGAGAGAATAGATAATTGAGGTTGTAAAAATTATAACAAAAAATTATAAACTAACTCTTCCCTAATATAAATGTGTTGTTTTTTTTTATATTTGATAAACGTGTAGTAGCGAAAATATTTTCCCCTCACGGATTACAATTATATTTTTCATTGATGTGATACATGGATGTGCCCAAGCCATCAAAATAGTCATCAATGTGGTTGGCCCATTTCTGGGTTTGCAACTTTGATTTAGTTTCATTTGCATCGAATCTTCTCCCTAATTAACCCTATTAAATGCTTTTTCACCTCTCTTTTAAATAAAAAATTTAAAAAATCTTGATGCTGTAAATACCACCGCAACTCTAGAACTTCTCGTAATGACCAAAGAAATTGAAGATTGATTGGTTTGTTTTTTACAAATATATGATCGCAATGTTATATACTTAATAATTTCCTGCGGTTTGATTACGTGAAAGGATAATATTTTGATATCGTGTACATCATTTTCAGACAATGTAGGATAATAGGGACATATTATTCTCCTTTTACATAAGATATCTTTTCTTATGTTCTTTCACTTCGATTTTCGTATCCTACTTTTTTCTTTTTTCTTGTAATGGTGGGACCCACCTATTTTCTCTCTGTTACATAAGATAACTATCTTATGTTAAATGATATTAATAAAATCCATAATAATATCTTAACTTTTATGCTAACTGTTTCGAGCAGTGTGAGAATTCACCTTCAGAGTCGGGGTGTCAATTTGAACTGTGTACAAAAAAAAAAGGTCAGTTTCCAATATTTAAAAGTATAATTTGTGTTCGTTAATTATTAACCTGATTGATTTTATATAATTGTGAATTATTTGGACTGATTCATTGTCTTGTATATTCTTTATTTAGTTATATAATTGGATTTTAAAAATATTAGTTTAAAATAATTTGTTTGATAAATTTGTATTAAAAATTATATTGTAATGCTTAAAAATTATTTGATTTTTAAAAAACATGTCTATTTTAAAACAACATTTATATACCATTTTCCATTAAACACTATTTTGCATTACAACAAGGTTTTTTTATATATTGTTTAAAAAAGCTTAATAATTAAAATAAGGAGCTAACTTTTCTCCTGTAGTAGAAGAAAAGATTTGTTTCCAACAGAGATAATTTTCAGATGGGACCCATGGCTTAAAGGGGGGATAGACACTATTATCAATGGGTGTGTACGAGAATTTTTCAAACGGGTCCAGGGAGATCCCGTGGCAGTTTGACGAGGGACCACCACCAATGAGCTAAGATAGGTCAACCATAACAAGTGTGTCTAACATCATATCTCAACCAAAACCTTAAAGTATTGGACTCATGGGTCCATCTATTTATATCCACTTCGCTTAGCAGGCGAATCTAGGATGAGCTTATGGCGGGGGATCACCACTAATGGGCTAAGACTATACCACCATATCAAGTGGATTCAACACCACATCACAACCCAAAACCTTAAGGTATTTGGTTCATTGGTCCCTTCACTTAGTCTATTACCAACCAATGTAGGACTCATCACACTTGAATATACTAACAATCTCACCCTCAAGTGTGAAACTCGATGTTGGTATGCTCTCCCTCAACCAAGCACACAGGCCCAAAGTACTCAACCTGCCTCCTATCCAAAGACTAGCTAGCCCGAGTCCAACTCGGCTCTGATACCACTGTCACGCGGATCCAAGCGGAACCCTTGGAGGAGAACCACCACCAATGGGCTAAGGTTATACCACCATATCAAGTGAATTTGACACCATATTACAACCCAAAACCTTAAGGTATTGGGTTCATGGGTCCCTACACTTATATCCACTTTATTTAGCCTATTACCAACCAATGTGGGACTCATTACACTTGAATATTCCAACAATCTCCTTCTCAAGTGTGAAACTCACCATTGGTATACATCCCATCAATCGAGTACCCCAGGGCCAAAGTACTCAACCCGCCTCCTAGCCAAACCCCCGGCTAGCCCAAGCTCAACATAGCTCTAATACCACTGTCGGGGGGGGGGTCAAGGGAGAGCCTGTGGTGGCCTGACGGGGGACCATTATCAATGAACTAAGATAGGACACTCATAACAAGTGTGTCTGACATCACATCTTAACCCAAAATCTTAAAACATTGGAATGATGGGTTCATCCACTTATATCCACTTAACTTAGTTCACTACCAACTAATGTAAGACTCATCACATTTGAATATCACAACAGTTATACAAAAGTCTTCGTGCAAACTTTTTAACACAACTGCATATTTGAAATAATTATGCATTCATACCACTGTTTTAAAATCCGAATCGAACCAGCTGGGTCAACCTGAGTTTTGGTAATCCAGTGAAAGCACCGATTCGAGCTGGTCGTTGGATCAGTCATGCAGTTGAACTAGTTTCAACTAGTTGACTCGGCCCAGTCTCAATAAATCACGGGTCAAATGGAACCTGGCAGATCAAGTTGTTTTCTCCCTTAAATTGATTTTTTAAAAATTGGACAAAATATTTCACTTTTGATAGTGTTCGGGAATCAATTCAAGCTTATGCGAGTGAGTAGTATTATCACTTATCACTAAGCTACCCTCAA